TTTCTAGGTGAAAATTGTGTTGTTTTTCCTGATCATAAAATATATATTCATTCTTAAAATTCAGAAAGTTCAGAAAAACATGGGGATAAAAATCAAGACCATTCAAGCAGCTATTAATACGATCGTCCTGCAGACACCCCCCTCCCCACGCACATGCTTACCTACCTTACTCGTGCTCACTCCCTACGACATGATGGGTAGCTGCAGACACCACTTTTCCAATCAACTTACTATCTATTTTTACTATAGTAAAAATCTATTTTTACTGCCATTTGTAACAGCTACTCTTTAGATTCATAATCATTTCTACTGTCTCCTCAGCAGTGGGCATTCAGGGAAATCCCTATTTTCCTTTTTTTGCTTTAACTGTAACAAGCACAGTAAACACCCTTATCCATGCACCTCTGTGCATTTAGCTCCTTAGGAAAATTCAGGAAGCTGGGCCACACCTATTTGCTCTGCGGACAAGGGTGCCAGGCCTGGTCCCCAGGCCGCTTCCAGGGTATGTCTATCTTCACTGTCACCTGAGAGGAAAAAAAAAAACTTGATTCCGTGTGTGTGCGTGTGTGTGTGGTCTTAGTTCTCTGTGGTGTTATGTATGTAGTTTTGCAACTGGCTTTTCCACCTGACAGCTCTTTTACTCCTCTTCTGCTTGTTCTTTCAAGGGTAAGATAAAATGTCACTTTCTTGAACCAAGACTCCCAAGATACCCCCTTGGGTGCCCATGGCTTCCACCCCTGCTGATGAGTTGTCGGTAGTATAGGAACAGGCCAATGGCCCAAAAGGGCAAACTGCAACGTCATCACCTGAGAGGCTAACCTTCTGGGTGTGGGTGTGGCTCTATGTGCCACTGACAAGGCTGGCTCATCAGGCCTGCTGAGCTTACGCCTGCTCCCCATAGCCCATCTGCAGCCAAGCCTCCGTGTAGGCCTGCCTGCTTTACTGAAACCTAGGGCCGGGAGACTGCTCGGCCAAACCCCTCTTCTGCCCAGGCTGTAATTTCCTGATTAGGCACCACAGTCACCACCCCATCAGTACACACTGAGTGTTTCCGGCCGTCCTCTCCATCTCTGGCGCTCCCAGTGCTCCCAGGGCCAAGCCAGGAGTGACTGGGCCAGCAGATTCAGAGTCAAACCAGGCAGCAAGAAGGTGCCAGAGAACTGGCAGATCAAGGCCGATCTGAGGGACCACCCCCCCCCTCCCAGAGCCAGTCACTGTTTAGAAGGGAACCATGGCCTACCTTTTAGAGTTCAAAAACTAGCTGATGGAAAAGAACAAGGTCACTGTGAGGCAGCAGAGCAAAGGGGGCTCCTTCAGATACTGACTCTGCTTTCTAATGAGGATCTTGACCAAGTGACAGTCTCTCTGAATCCAGCTCCCCCACCTATGAAACGCAGAGAACAGTCCTTAGAAAACACTTGGACAGCATCACAGTGGAGAAGTTCAAGAGCCTGGTTCTTCCCTAGCAGTGGTGTGGCCTGGGGCAGGTTACATCATGTCTCTGAACCTCAGTTTTACCAGCTTTTAATACAAATGCACACCTGCCCAAGTGCTGTTATGCAATTCTAATCACATGTGTGAAAATAATCTCCCGTACAGAAATTCCATGGTCAAGAAAGAAAACCAGCCTTTACTGCCTGGGCCTGGATTCTGCCTTCTCTGGTCCAAGGGCAAGTTTGGAAGAGATCTTCTTATCTCCAGCATCCCCATCAGGGACGGGGGGAGTCAAGGGCCGGCCGTCCTCTTGGGATGCTATGGAGGTAGTGGGGTGCCTCTGCTGTGATGCCACTGCTCCATCACCAGTCTCCAGTTTCCCAAGAATTTTACTTTTTTTTCCTAAGAATTTTAGAACAGACTCTTTCTCCCTTCAGGCCTCTTTCACATTTCCTTTGAGACTCCAGTTTCATTTTGTAAAATGTCAATTGCACTAGGTGCCACCACCTCTACCCCAGCTAGGGGCTCGGGTGGTGAACTGTATAGAGCTTTCTTAACACTTTCCAATTTTAGCCTCAGATATCGCTATTACACAGGTGATCTCTATGGCACCAATGTATTCCAGATGCCACATGGTCCAGTCTGTTCTCGGAGGTTCATGTTATTTTTAATTTGGGGGGTTTCATTTTTATTCTTCCATATGTGCACAGGTTCCACTCACTTAGATTTTCATCTTTTTTAAAAAAAGATTATTTATGCATATAAGAACTGGGGTACAGGCCAGAGGTGTGGGGGTGAGAGGATTCACCAGAGACAGAGCAGGGAACAGAACAGGCAGATCGACTGAAATACACTGCTGAGGGGAGCAGTGGGTAAGACAGGAGAGGTCTGCTGCACCATGTGGGTAGCTCCCTGCCCGGGGATCAAACTCGTGCAGCAGTGGCTGCAGATAGCTTCATAGTGCTGAGACTTAACCCCTGTGCCACCAGGGAGGCTCAGGATTTTCATTTTTAAATGGTATAAGTCAGCAGCCAAATATCTTTTAAATAATTCCAATCATTTGGCCCTCTCAAAAGTATCATTGAGGAGTCAGTTGCCACACAAGGCAGCTGCCGGGCCCATTTCTCCTTTCAGGTCTCATACTCTAGCTATGTCAGTGACTGTCCAGGGGCCCTTACCTCTTACTTCCTTCTACCGTCTCTCGTCCCGTCTCCTCATTGCACAGCCCCACTGAAACTCGCTGGTCTCTTAGTTTGCTGTTTACCCACAACCCTGATTTTTCACTGTGGAGGAGAACCCAGACTGACCCAGAAAGCACCGGTGCTTCCCTTCCCCCCAGCTCTCCAGGCCCGCTCCAGTCTCGCAGTGCACATGGCATGGAAAATAAAATCCAGGCGCGGAGTCAGGGAAGGTGAGGCACGGGGCAGAAGGCTGGGAAGAGGGGACACTTGTGTGTTGATCAATCTCACTCCATCGCGTTCAGCTCCTTTCTCCTCACTTCCCAACCCCTGCGACCAGAGTTGGCAGCGATCACCTAGCCTTTCTCAGGAGTTCTGAGCCATGTTTTCCCTGGAGAGCCTGCGGGACGATGGAGCAGGCAGGCCCAGGCAAGGGGCACCAGGAAGCGAGACCCAAACAGGTAGAGACACCGCTGAAAGCAAAGCCTGACCTGTGGGAGGGCAGTCTGTTTTAGGAAGTGTCCTGCCTCACCTGCATCAGAGAAAGCATCAAGGTGTGCAGTTTCCAGCGTCTGATTGATTTGTAGGGTTGCCGGAATCCACAGGAAAGCTAACACTCAGGCACTGCCTGGACCGCCACAATGTAAGAACTGCTTCCTCATGGTAGACTCAACAAGCAGCTAAAAAAAAAAAAAAAGTCCAGCTACCTTTCAAACAGTTAAGTCTTGGATTCCAGATCCTTCCCACAAGAGCTGGGGAATGGCCTGGGTATGACCAGAGGACTCAGGCCAGATCCCCTGCCTCCCACTGTGTCCCCCACCCCACCAGGCCGGCAGTATGGAGATGAGCAAGCCATCCGGGGACAGTGCTGCTGGATCCCAGAACTAGGGAGTTGGTGGAGGGTGGAGGGGTGTTCGGAGGGGCAGGGGGAAGAAGGTCCTATTTTCTACCACCAGGCCTGGGCAAGCAGAGCCATTTCTGCCCCAAGCAAATCAATAGAAAGTCTTGGCCAAGCCTGTTTGAGTTGGTGAGAGCCCAAGTGGGAATTCCAATCTACCAGTGTTTGCTCTACAGGCAAACACGGCCAGATAGAAATGCCGCTTTAGGACTTTGCGCCAAATATCCGTCGGTGTGTTCTGCCAACAGCGCTGGGTCAGCCCTCCGCACGTCACTCTCTCCCAGTTCTCTGCTCTGTGACAGCCTCTTGCGAGCGCCCTGAAAGGCTGCTTGCCCTCTCACACTGCAGTTCTGTGCCCCCAGCTTCCCTCCTGGGCCTGGAACCCAGGCCTTCCTGGTCCGACAAGCTGTCTGTCTGCCCACCACATCCCACATCAGCTCCATCTGGAGACCCATTTCCTGTCCTTCTGCAGGTTCTGACCTTGGCTTCCAGCCCTTAGCTCCACACTCCCCTCCCTACCACCTTGCTGCTGGCCTGGGCACTCTCGGCCCTCCCAGGCTGGTTGCCTAGCAGAGAGCTGTGGTCAGCATGAACCCAAAGTTGGCTGCATCTTTTTTCACACTCTCCTGTGTATTTTATTTGATCTTTCTGTGGGTCATTTTTATCAGCGTGTTTCTCAGAGGAAATAGCTGAAGGTTTGAAAGATAGGTCACCTTGCCAAAGTCACCCAACCAAGGAATCCAGGTCTTTTGATTCCAAAACCAGGGTATTTTCTAAATTGCCTGCTTGAAGCAAATTTTTAAATCTTTTGTTCATTCCCAGATGCCTAAGGCAATTCTCAGTATTCCTGGGGAGAGCAGGCAAAGTGCTTTCACATTCTCCTGAGCAACGCTGGCACAGTATGAGCAGCTGGCAATGTCTCTTTTGCCCCAGCCCTAAATCACAGTCATTGCCTGAGGTCTGCCTGTCCTGCTGACCTGGCAGGCCCACCAGAAGCTCCTCCCAGCCTCCCTGATTAGGCACTGGCTGCCAGAGGATCTGAGTGGCTCCCTCTGCCACAAAGGCTACAGTCACTGCTCACTTCAGGCCCACCTCCCAGGGTAATAGTAGCATAGGATTCTCATCACCCCAGGATGCAGGTAGGCTATACCCACTGCACTCACAGGGCTCCCCCACATATCGTCTCACATTCCAGAGCATTACTTCTTAACACTGTTCACACAGTTTTCCATTTGGTTCAGAGTGTGGACAATTGCACATGGAAATGGTCTGAGTTATCTCAGAAGTCACATATTCTCTCCATTTAATTACTGTCTCTTCCTCAGGAGAATTTTCTTTCAGCCCATCTGAATGGATTGTCTCCCCTACGCAACCACGGGCACCAACCATGTTTAGAACTAGATGTGAGTTTCTCATCACAGGACACACAGCAACTGCACAGCTCGGTGAACAGCAGCCAGAGGCATGAAAGAAACCATGACTAACGATTTCCTCCTTCCCCGCTCCTGTGGCCTCAGGAGTGCCATCACCGAGGCCTGAAGCCTATGGGCCCACCCATGGGACCCTCTGCCCATCCATTCTCAACTCTGCCCCCTCATGCTTGCTCTGGCCTGGCTCCCCAGTCTGGGTCTGGGCCTTCCCACTCAGCTACAGGTGCTGGCTCTCAAAGCAGCCACACCGGGGCGCCGCACCCCCCATCCCCGAGCCACTGCCAAGGTGGGAGGCTCAAGAATCCTCCTCATCTGCCTGTTGACCATTTGCATTTCTTCTTTGGGGAAGTTTCTTTTCAGTTCTTCTGCCCATTTTTTGACTGGGTTATTTACTTTGATGTTGTTGAGTCTCATCAGCTCTTGGTAGAGTTTTGTGATCAGTCCTTTATCATTAGTGTTGTGTGCAAAAATGTTCTTCCAGTCAGCAGGGTGTCTCTTTGTGCAATGGGAGCACTAGGAACAGATGGGAACAAGGAGTGCCAGTCTCCTTGTCCTACCTGGGCCTTCAGAGGGCTCCATCATGTCCATACCAGGATGGTGCCGGGAACCTGGTGACTCTGGCAGTCAGTTGGGCAGGAATGACACAGAAAGTGACACCTGTTAGGTGAAGAACACTAACCAGCTGTAAGGGGGGAGACAGTCCAAAGCACCTGATGCTGCCGCTCCTCTGGGCCTTGCACGAGGTGCGCCACAATGCCAGAGGCTGCTTCCCTAGGCTGGCCCACCTTGAGCTCCACACCCCAGCAGCGAATCCCTGGTAACAGCTGCACCACCTGCAGCACCACAAGCACTGTGAGTCTGAGGGCAAGCAGAATAGATCCCAGGTAGGGGCCCCATGGCAGTGGGTCCACAGAGAGAGATGGAGGTGTGCCAGGTGTGCAGACACCCACACAGATGAGTGAGTGGAGGTTCTGAGACCAGTAGGACCATGGCACTTTGAAGGAGTCATATGCTGTTATGGGGTAGCTGCAGGTACTTCTTGGTCTGGGGGCCTCAAGGGGTGTCCTCATGAGCCCTGTGGTCATTGGTACTGAGGTCAAGGGAGCAGAGAGCCAGTCTGACCCCTGGATGTGGCCCCTGACCGGGGAGAACAGAGAGCCTCCTTTACCCTACTGCCAAGGTCTGGCTGTATCATATGGGTGAAGGGGATCAGGTGGGCTCCAGGGAGTCAGACCTCATCGGTACCTACCCAGACCCAAGCCCCAAAATTTGGGAAACTCTGTGATCACAATCACCATGAAGAGGCCTTCTCAGAAAGCCTCTGTTTAATGGGGAGCCTATCACAGGCTCTGTGGTGCCCGGTGCCAGAGTGACCCACTCCCAACTACTCAGAATTGTTATCCGAGCTCTGGGGCTGTTCCTTCTGGGGAAGTTCTTCAAGAAGTTGGCTCAGCACATGCACGATCTCATAGTACAGCTCTTGAAGCCTGGAAATAGAGCAGAAGGAGAGGTTGTCCAGGCTCGGGGAGAGTTTCTGGTCCCCCTGGCCCCACCCACCATATCCACACATTCTCCACACCTGGCAGGGGTGAGGTTGGGAAAAGCAAGGACTTCAGAGCCTGATCAGGCTGGATGGAGTCTACTGTGGCCCCCAGAGTGAGTGACTGCGCCCAGGTGTCAGGCTGGAGACAACAAACTCCCATGCTCTGAGTGACGGGCTACTGGGAGTTGACCAGACATTGCCTGGCCCCTTCTTGGGCTCAAAGTGTGTGTTCCCTGATCCTTTCCTTTTAGTTCCACCATTCCATGAAGACCTCTAGCGGGCTTTTGTTGAGAAATCAGGCTGTGTCCTCCCATGTTCAAAAGCTCCCTGAGGCCCCATAGGCCCCACGTCCCCGGCCTCCCTGCTCAGTTAGGGTCAGCTATATCCCCCACTAATGTACACTGAGCACAGCCCCAGACCAGGCCATGCTCAGAGCTTCACATACATAGAATCAGCCCAGCAGTCCCTCATGTGACAGGTGGGGAAGGCAGAGACTTGCCAGTCAGTACTCTTTCCTCTGCCCTCTGTTTTTTTGTTTTTTTTTATAGAGGCATGTTTTATTTATTTTATTTGTTTGTTTGTTTTGTTTATACAAGCACTGGGTACAGTCAGAAGCGCGGGAGGGTGAGAGAATCCACCAGAGCCAGAGCAGGGAGCAGAGCAGGCAGAAGGACGGAAGTACACTGCTGAGGGGAGCAGTGGGTGGCAGGAGAGGTCTGCGCGCCATGTGGGATCCTCCTCCGGTGGCTGGGGAGCAGCCGGGGATCGAACCGGTGCTGCAGAGGCAGCGGGCAGCTTCGCAACCCAGTGCTCAACCGCTGCGCCACCAGGGAGGCCCTCCTCTGCCCTCTGAAAAAGGGTGAGTAAAGAGGGCCTTGAGAGTGGAAGGAGCCAGCATTTAAGTACAGGTCAGGGTGGGCTGAGGAGGGGCAGGGGAACAGAGTGCCCCCAGCCAAGGGCATGTATGTCCCGTGCACACATGGCATCTGCACCCCAAGAACTTCCTTCTACCTTCCCTGAACACTGGAAATACCCTTTGCTCTCCCAGGGCACCTCGCACGGCCCTGCCTGCAAGGAAGCCCAGGGGATCAGGAAAGGCCTGGTCTCTGGGGCAGGGCCAGAGGGGCTGGGACTGACTTGTAGATCGTAGCGTCCTGGTTGTCTAGCGTGGACAAGTAGACGTCAATAAAGGGCAGGCTAGTGCCAAAGTCATCCAAGACCATGGGGTCATCATGCCGCAGGGTCTTCTTGAAGTTCTTTACCAGATCACTGAAACTTCCTTGGTTACCATTTTTCTAGAGGGAGGTATAAAGAGAACAATGATGAGGCAGGGGTGACACCCAAGGTGTCAGAGACCTGGGGACCCTCCATTAGGGACCCCTGACAGAGGCATGACCATGGATGGCCCCAGGATGAGTCCTGAATCAAGTCACACAGGTTCATCTTGACACTTTCTGAGCCTGGAAGCCCTGACCATGGTGGCCTCATCAGCCACCATCACTGACATGAGTGCAGGTGGCACAAGCAGGAAGCAGTGACAGCCAGATTGTGACTCAGGATGATCTTACCCCACCCTGAGAAAACGCTGGGCACAGTCAAAGGAGTAGAGGTCTTAAAGAAGTGGGGGAGGCATGCGTGGCCCACTTGTGGAGAAAGGGGCAGCATGTTCACCACCCACAGAGCACCAGACCTGGGGAGCACTGAGCACTCAGACTGAAGAGAAGACGGCTCAGCCCTCTACAGTTGCAGCATACATTTTAGGAAATCTCTAAACTGCTGTGCTCATTCTTGTCCCGGTTTAGAAAACTGAGGTTGAGTGACACCTGTGAGAGCCTCTGTGGGCTCAGCGGCTTAGAGCACTGAGGCCATGCCTGCCTGGCACCCACTGAGCGCCTCTTCTTGGTTGTTCCTGTCAGCCCTGACTGTCCATCTGTTTGTCTACCTGCTCGTGGAAATGACCTACCTTTGCCTGGATCAGCTTGCTGATCTCATCCTGCTGCCGCCTCAAAATCACCTGCTTCTCCTCCATGAGTGTCATGTGCCTCTCCAACATCAGCTCCCGTTCAAATTTTTTGATGGAGTCCTAAGGAGTGAGTGGATGGAGGTAAGTGGGGACTCTCACCACATACCTGCCCCCCTTTCTTCTTCCCTAGCCTTGCATTGCCGCTCCGGCCTCAGCAGGAGGAACCCCAGCTCCATACAGGGCCAGTCCCCAAATCAAGCTGCCAATGGCAGCTGCAGTGGCCTCCCAAGTTCAGTGTCCTGCTGGCACTGTCATGAGGCAGGGAAGCACTCTGGCTCAGAGAGAAGGGTCAGGCTGGGGCACTATACCTACCTGGCCACCTCCCCTCCATGTCAGGAGGGAGGCAGCTCAGAATCCTCCCTGGAGACCTGGCCTACAGCTCCACCTGCCACATCTGACCCAAACACTAATTCTTACACTCGAAACCTCACCTCAGTGTAGATGATCATCACGCCGACAAACATACTGAGGAAGATGAAGGAAGCAAGCAAGATGAAGATGATGGTGAACGCCCGACTCAGAGCGAAATTCCTGTCATCCAGCTTCTGCTGCAGGTTTGTCCAGCCATCCACCTGCTCGGCAGGTTGGGGATGCTGAGTGCCAAGGCCCAGAGGGCAGGAGTCCTTCCTACCTACCCTGAGGGAAGCCAGGCCCACTGAGGAGGAGGCTGGCTCTGCCTCTACATCAGCCCCTCAATGACTCTCCAACCCCGCCCATAGAGGGTACCTAGGGGTGCAGGGCATCATAGGAGAGGGAGGCAACTTATGATCAAGGAGCCCTAGGGGCCCTTCTGCCTCTCTGCCACGCCCTCCTTGGAAAGACCAGGGGGATAAGAATTTCAACTTTCAAACTTGGGCTTGCAGGCTTATTCTGGGTGACCTTGCAACAGTTTATCCCCAAAGAGGCTGTGTGACATGGGTTTTGTTTCTAAGTTAAACTTAATCCAAGTTAACTTTCTTTTGAGAACTCTTTGGAAGCGTGACAACCCTGTAGGACAAATGGAGCTGCTCTAGGGAGTCACAAGATTAGAGAGAGAGCTGAACCCCTGGTGAGGGCACAGGCATCAACTGTTCTGGGAGGTCAGCCCTCAGCGTCCCCAGCTAGCTGAGAACTTGGAGAGGGCCCCATGTGAGGCCTAGCATGTCCACACACATGCCAGCTTACATCCCTTCTTAAGGTCCCTGCCCTGCCCTCTGCTCCTAAACTCAGTACCGTGGTCAAGCTGAAGAGGGTAAAGAAGGCCACAGCCAGGTTCCCCCAGTTATCCAGGTCGCCCCCATCTGGACCTCCGAATAGGCAGAAGCCCAAGACAGCAAAGATGAACATCAGGACAAAGAGCAGGATGAGCACGGAAGCCACAGTGTAGACTGTCTGCCCCATGGCAGTGATGAGAGTCTGCAAAATAGGGAGGATGGGGCTAGGAAAGGCTGCCAGACTGGTAAGCTCAGGGAACAGAAGCCCAAGCTGCCCAGATTACAGCCATCCACAGCATCCAGGGTGATGCCTGGCACATGGCAGATGCTCCCTAAATGACTGGATGGATGGATGGATGGATGGATGGATGGGAGCTGTGCCATACTGTGGGCCGGACCCATCTAACCAGTTTATCAATGCATGGGCTCCACCCACAGTGACCTGTGGGCAAACCACACTGGCTGCCTCAGGTGTAAGGCTGTTTCCTTTTACCACTAGCCGCTCCATCTGAACCCCAACCTGGCTCTGTGGTCATCGCAAGGTGTCCCTTCTCTTCTCAGCGGAGGGTTAGTCCTGAATGCTCCTCCAGTCCCAGAAGAAATAGGAGTGGGAGTGAAGAGGGCTGGGAGGAATGTGGCTTCCCATTTTGGGGGGATTCTGTTTTAAAGGTCCCAATCTTGTGACCCCAGCCTCCCCCTTTCGCCCAGTGAAATGGGTATTTGTCTTATCTCCCAGGACAAAGGCCACTCCTGGGAAGCGTATAGCACATGATTCTTCATGGTTCACTCTCCACACGTGGGGGTCTTGCATGCAATAGGCGCTCAATACATGTTCACCTACCTAAAGGCCATCACAGACATAATTTCAACACAAGTCAGTATTGTCACTCCTCCCATATCAACATGAGGGATCAAAGGCCCAGAGAAGCAAAACGCCTTTGCTAGGGTCACACTGCAATACAAAGGTGGAGCTGGGGCCCATTCTTGACCTTCTACCACTAAAATCCCTTTTTCTAAGCCAAAAAATCACTTATTGACTTATCACTAGGACAGGCAGTACTCGCTAGGGCTGAGGTACCAGACAGTGAAGCCTGACAGTCCAGGGTGAGCAGAGACAGTCCCAGAGCACTGGATGTGAACGGGTTTGGCAACTGCCTGCAGGGGTTAATCACATGCTGGATACCTCTCTCCTCTCCTTGGGGGAAGAAAATTAGTAATTTTAATTAATTCTATGAGAACTGAGTCAGAACTTCCTTCCCAAGAACCAAGTCTGAAGAGGTGAGTCCTCAGAAATGCTGCAATGGGACACAGACTGCAGATGGAGTGGGGGAGCACTGAGGAGCGGTAGGAGGGTGAGGGAAAGGCCTGGCTGGGTCTCCCAATTCCAGGCCTGCAAAGGCCCAGAGTGACCTAAAGTCAAAGCTGAGCAGTCTTGAGAATGCCCGTGAAGAAAACGTGTGTGATTCCTGATAGCTGGCCTTGCCCAGGTTCTTCAATAATCCAGTCAGGTGCATCCTCCCAGGACAGACGGTGCCAGAGAAGGAGGCCCAGATCATCAGAGAGCCTTCTCTGAGGAAGTCCTAGGCTTTTGAAGTCTACAGTCTGGCCCCCAGGAAATGCCAGATTTGGAATTCCCAAATTCTCTGGGCAAGCAATTCTGAACCCTGGTTCAGTTCTCCAAAATGCATTTCTTGGAGAGGCCCAGCTGCTCTGAGGAGCCCTCCTATCCTGTCCAGTCAGATATGCAAAAAGGGATGAGCCTGGAGGAGGAGGAGGCAGAAAGGAAGGCAAAACTGGCTCTTTCCACAGCCCGGCACGTAAAGGTTGTTCTTCAGGCTGAAATTCCAATGACCAGGGCAGTGCAATCCTCAGGTGCCCAGTGAACAGAACTTCTCTGTGTGCATAACAAGAAGAAACTATTTCCTCATGGCGCAGGCTTACTGCCATGAGATGGAAGGCCAAGTGTCACTTTAATTAATGCGTGGATGGGAGCCAAGAATGCGCCAGAATAGGGCTGTGGGCACTGAGGTTCTGGCTCTGTTAAAGTCCCATTTAGATTCCAGTGAACGTAAATTAGTACAACAGGGCAGGTCCCCTGCCTGTTACCTCCAGCCCCTCTTGATCAGCTGGCAGGCCAGGGAACAGCAGAGGGTATGTAACCCAGAATCAAATTTCTGTGCCCCCCAGGGATCTAGGGTCCAAGGAAATGTTTTGTCCTCATGCCCGTGGGTCTCTGTGCATGTCCACAAGAACCAGAGCAGAGGCTGCTGACAGGCTAAGATCTAGATTCAGCTTTGACCAGGTCTGTGCTCCCCTCACAGAAACCCTGGGCTGGAAGGATAGGTGGTCCTGACGAGGCCCCGAGCCCCAGGCACTTAAGGGTTTGCCTCTGACCAGGCTGTCAGTCCCCTTGACAGGCTCAGCAGGCAGCAGTGCCCCGGGCCTTGCGAGGTGCCAGAGCAGGTCACTGGCCCTACCTCCCATCCCCCCTTTCCCAAGACAGCCCTTGGACCTGACCATCAGCCCTACATGCTCCCCTCCTCTCTGTGCCGCCCTGGGCTCCCTTTCCACCCACCATTACCTCCTTTCTCACATGGCTCCTGCAGGTCTCTGGCACCCTCATCCTTTGGTTAGGCCTCTCATGCCCTCACCTGAAAATCTGAGGACATCGCTCCTCAGCCGCCCTTCTTGAGGGGTCTGACCCAGGAGGCCACCCTCTGCCTTTTCCTCAGTGCCCCAGCTCCATGAGCCAGGGCCCAGCATCTAGGCAGGTCCAACCCTTTCCCACTTCCCATTCCTCTCATGTGTTAGAATGTCTTCAGCCTCCCCCACATCCTGCTGTCATCCCAGGTGTCTTCAGAATCTACCACCTATCCCAGGCCTCTTTTTCCCTTGACTTCCCCATCCCTGATGATCCCTGCTCCACATTAAGTCTCTGCTTCCTTGGTGCCCAATGCCCAGAAAAAACAGGCTACACTTCTTACTGTCCCATCAACCCTCACTCCAAGGTGCCCCCAGCTGGCACTGACCCCCCACAGACTCCAGCTTCTTTCCTGTCCAGCAGCCTCACTCTCATCCCTGATGTGGTCTCCAATGCATGCACCTCCCTCTTCCAGGGCACAATCTAGGGTCTGTCTCTAGCTTTTACAAAGGAACGGTGCCAAGATCTGATGTGCACGTGAGAGACCCCCGCTATTGGGGCATTTGTGCTCCGAGCTCTCAAGAGCATGAGAGGCCACTGCAGACAGGCAGGTAAAGGCAGATGGTGATGGAGAAAGACAAGGCTCTAGCGGTGGAAAGATGTGGACAAGGGAGTGACTACTGAGGAGGCCATGTAACAGGCTTTGAGAGGAGTCAGCTGACACTCAAATTAATGACTTGGCATAAATGGGGTGAGGGAGAACTTTTCACCAAAAGACAAAAAACAGGAGGATGAGCCAGGGCTCAGGGTTGGAAGGGTGGGTAAATTCTGGATTAGACATATTGAGTTTGAGTAACACATGATGTCCAGGAAGTGGTTTCGAAGGAGAAGTTAGGAAAAGGGCAAAGGCAGACAGTTAGGAACCGACCACCCCAAGTCCCTAAGTCCACTTATTAGCTTCACTGAGAAACACTCGGCTGGAACTAGGATAATGTCCCCCACCCCACACACACACACCAAGTCCTAGGTCATTTATCAGTCTGATTGGAGACCAGGAGAGTCCCTCCCTGCCCCACCCCACCCCATGAACCCCAACCCAGTAGAGTGGAATGTCCAGATCACCAGCACATTAACATAATGCTACAGCAATGGCCCAAGGCTAACTTCAGGAAGGTGGCCCAGGAAATGTGGGCAAACTCAGTGGTCCTCGGTAGCCTAGGAGACCCCATGGGCCCAGCCAATCAGCAAGAGACACAACATGGAGACACCTAACCGCCAAACCCCCACTCCTTGCCCTTTATACCCAGATAAGAACCTACTTCTCGCCACCTCAGTGGCAACCCACTCGGGACCCCTTTCTGCTTGGAGAGCGTTCCTGTTCTTCCTCATATCTATCAATAAACCTCTTGCTTTTCTGTAACTTTGATCTCAAGGCTTTGAGAGGAGTCAGCTGACACTCCTCGCCAATACAAGAACTGAGAAAAAGCCCACCTGGGGTCCTCAGTTTCCGGGGCTACTCCCTAAAAACACCAATTCAGTTTGAGTTTGAAGGTCAACGAGGGGGTGGACATGTAAAGACCACCCCTAAGAAGTGGAAAAGATCATCCAAAGAGAATATGCAGAGTAAGAAAAGTAGAAAACTCAGGACAAGGTTCTAAGAAAGCAATACTTACGGGCCAGAGGAGACACGCCTGAGAAGTCACACTCAAGAGACTGATGAAAAACCAAGAGAAAGTGGTGACAAGGAGGCCAATGGAAGCAACCACTGGACTTGGTGACAGAGGTTAGAGTGAAGAAGCCAGGGTAGACATGGCAGATAAGGCAGGGGGGCTGCTATAAAGAGAAGGAGGGCTGACTATGTCATTTGAGAAGAGAAACATGAGTCTGTGACTAATGAGAGCAAGGAATGAATGAATGGAAAGTGTGACAGAAAAAGCTCTTGAACATTTTCTTTGTCTTTTCCACCCAAGACTAGGGCTCCCTGAGTGTCCAGCTTGGGCCCCTGACAGCCATCTAGCCTGGGTTAGGGCAGTTTCTCTGGATTAGAAGTGTCAGCAGAATACACTGACACACCCATCTGATGAAATGAGTCCCAAACAGCCCCTTCCTGGACATGTATGGAAGCTGGGTACAGAGTCGCACAGACTGTCCAGGAGAATGCCTGAAGGCACAGATTGGTCAACTCTGAGGCTTGCCCTGAAACTCCCTGAGCCAAAGTAAGGCTGGTCACGGCTTCCAACAGCCCAGGGAGACTTCCCAGCAGGAGCATTTGTGTGAAGGGAGATGCGTGAAGGGGGTAATGAGACTACTGCCATCAAGAAAAGCAGCAAATGTTTCACTCTGAGGAAAGCCCTGAGCAGGCAGGAGACTTCTAGGCATGCAGCTCAAAGGGTGCGTGTCACAAGCAAACTAAGTGACTTTGCAGCATGGAAGAGCGAAAACATTCCAACAGCCTCTGGAGTGACATACATTTCCAATGTCAGTGCTGGCATATAACTGCTAAGTAATCTAGGGCCTCAATTTCTTCATTTGTAAAATGACACTAACGATATCTTTGCTACAAAAGTTTTACAATTAAATGAGATCAAATTAGTAGAGATCAACTTGTCACACAGTGGGGACTCAATAACAGGATGATAGAATTATTTCAACAGGGGCTGGTGGGCAGATGGGCCCTATGGCCTGCACGCCCAGAACCAAAGCACCACCAGTCTACTCACTCGGATGCCACGGCTATAGCCGATAAGCTTGAGGATGCGCAGGGACTGTAGGCCATTAGCGATGTTGAGGTACGGATAGTGCTTGCCTTTTGTCTTTACTAAGATGTAAGGCAGGCTGAGGATGATGATAATAAGCACATCGAGCAGGTTGTAGCCATCCTTCCAAAATTTGACGGGGTCCACATAGAGCTTGAGGTAGAACTCTGCACTATAGATGGACTGAAATAAGAGCTCTGAGATCTGTAGGGGTGACAAGGGTGGGCGGGTCAGACCAAGTTACAGAGCCCTATACCCTGGCCTCTGCCCAATCGTGTGTGTTTGGGGTAAGGGGTGTGCCTGAGTCACCCAAAAGAGAGTAAAACCCAGGCACAGTCCCTGGTACACAGTGGACACACAGTGTGCCCAACTTCCTTCTACTATGTATGTCTTCCCTATCCAGTGACCCTAGGTCAGGAGCCTGGTTTGACCTCGGGTAAATGGAAATGACTAAGAGAAGGACCATGGAGGCCCAGCATAAGGCAACTCATCATGTCAGGCAACTGGAACGTCAGGTTTCCCAAAGAGAAAGTCCCAAGAATTTTCTTATCAACCTGAATATTTAAACCTTGAGGAATAGAGATGAAACGCTAAGATAGCTACTTATGTTTACTTTTTTAATCATACACACTTAAAGTCAGTTAACTAATCTGTTTCTAAAGAATATGAAGACTATTTTTTTCACTTTTACACCTTACAAAACCATATTCAAATTCTTCTTACACATCTACAGTTCCACTAGCTTTGTTTTTACTGAAAGATACTTTCTGAGTTAACTAAGCTTTTCCTTATCATGAATGCATTTCATTCACCAAAAAGGCTTTAACTGAGCATCTGCCATGTGCCAAGCAAATTCTGTTTTAGGCAATGGGAAACGCAACCATGAATAAGACAGAAAATTTCCAGGCCCCTCTCCCAAGTCTGCAATCTAGTAGAAATAAATGCTTAAACAAGTACATAGATAACCTCAGATAGGAAGGAAAATGAAACAGCTTCAAGGATGGGGGCAGGGAGTGCAGTATGTGCAAGTGTTTAGAAAAGGTGGTACACGGAAGTCTCACTGAAGCCATAATAAGAACTGGGAGAATTCTTACCAGTGGTGAGTCCAAGAGAGAGAGAGGTGTTCAAGATACACCAAAGACAGTGTGGCTAGAACAGAAAGGGGACAGAAGGGAGGGAGGAAGGAGGGAGAGGCAGCTGAAAAGAGGGCCTAGTATGTCCCATAAGAGTTTTTAATTTTAATTTCACCCTTGTAGGATTTAGAGTGAGGCCATGATTATGAATGAATTACATTTTTAAGAGATCTTGCTGGGAAAATAGACTCTGGGCAGTTAGCAAGAATAGCAACTGAAGGGCAAGTTAGGGAGGAGGCGACAGGCAGAATGTCTAGGAGTCACCCAGGCAATAGATGAGATTGGACTGGGTTGGAATGGGGGGTAGTGTGGTGTTTAAAAGAGGTCTGACTCTGGATGTATTCTGGAGGTAGGGGTGATGGGGAGTGCTGATGAATTCAGGCACGCAGAAGGTAGAGGGAAGGCAAGGAAGACAGAGCAACTGGGTAACTGGTGATGTCCTTAAGTGAGATGAGTTTGGGGGTGGCTTAAAGGGGTCCAGAAACTTTATGGCAGAAAATAGAAAGGATTTTGATATCACCTTTTAAATATACATCAGGTGCTAGCACTGGAATTTATAACTCCAGCCAAAGCTGTCCATGTAGATAACATAAGGGCAGCTGGTATTTTCATTTGTCCTGTACACTTACATGTGAGATCTCCGCACAGCAACTATGTACATACACTTTTAGTTAACCAAAATGTACAACCATATACTACTACCCAGCTAAAAAACAAAACATTGCCATTCTAGGCAGACTTTTTGGATTTCCTCATTGATCAAATCCCTTTCTCTTCTCAAAAAGGTAATCCTCCTGTAAATTAGGAGTATATCATGCACTTCTACTTTATACTTTTACTTGTGCCTCTAAAAACACGACTTTGTGTTTTACATATTAGATATCATATTCATTAAACAATTCTTCGACAATTTGTTGCTTTCATTTAAGTTGTAAGCTGCATCAACGTTGATGTGTGCAAACCTAGTATGCTGTTTGACCGCAACTTGCAGTAACACTTAGAAAAATACTACCACTGGGCCTCCCCAGTGGCACAGCGGGTTGAGCGCAGCGCTGTGAAGCTGTCCACACAGCCTCTGCAGTGTGTGTTCGCGATTCCCGGCCAGCCAGGGAGATTCCCACATGGCGTGGCAGACCTCTCCTCAGTAGGTTATTTCGATTGTCTGCCTGTTCTGCTCCCCACTCTGTCTCTGGTGAATCTTCTCACCCTCCTGAGCCTCTGGCCTGTACCCCAGCTCTTGTATAAAAACAAATAAATAAATCTTTAAAAAAAAAAAAGAAAAATACTACCACTTATTTATCCGGCTACCTGCTGAGTGATATTTAGTTCGTACGCCTTTGAACAACTCCTTTATACTTTGTTGTATGCTTGTGTGAAGTTTCTCTGTTTCTCGCTTTCTCTAGGAATGGAACCACAGGGTTATAGGAGATCAGCATTTTCACCTTCACTAGATTATTGCCAAGTTGTTTTCTAAAGCTTTGGTGCCAATTTAATATCAGCAGTGTTCCAAATGTTTTACATACCAAAACTTCTGTCAGACTTAAATTTTTGTTAGTCTGATGAAATATTAAATGGCATCTTGTTTTTACTTTTTTTCATTTCTCTAATTTTAATGAAGTTGAGCATCTTTTTATGTTTAAGTTGTAAATTTCCTGTTTCTGGTCTTTGGCCAAATTTTCTATAGAACTGCTTTGTCTTTGCCTTATTGACTTGGGAGATATTTCCTTTCTTTTGAATCCTAATCTGTTACCTGTTAGATTGCAAATGCCTTCTCCTATACTGACCTTTCTTCTCTTTAATCATCTCTTGATATACAGAAGTTTACAGTTTTTTTTTTCCCCAAAGATATATTTATTTATACAAGAGCCGGGGTACAGGCCAGATGCACGGGAGGGTGAGAGGATTCACCAGAGACAGAGCGGGGAACAGAACAGGCAGACTGACGAAATACACTGCTGAGGGGAGCCGCGGGAGAGACAGGAGAGGTCTGCCGCGCCATGTAGGACCCGCGCTGGCTGGCATCTAACCGGCACTGCAGAGTGCTGCGGACAGCTTCACAGCGCTGCGCTCAACCACCTGCACCACCAGGGGAGGCCCCAGAAGTTTACAGTTTGTTTTTTTTTAAATGTTTGTTGGGTTTTTTAAAAAGATTTATTTATTTATTTATACAAGCACGGGTACAGTCAGAGGCGCGGGAGGGTGAGAGAATTCACCAGAGCCAGAGCGGAGAGTAGAACAGGTAGAGTGACGAAGTACACTGCTGAGGGGAGCAGTGGGCGGCAGGAGAGGTCTGCGCACCATGTGGGACCCTCGCCCCTGGCGAGGATCGAACCAGCGCTGCAGAGGCTGCGGGCAGCTTTGCAACCCAGAGCTCAACCACTGCACCACTGGGGAGGCTCAGAAGTTTACAGTTTTAATGGAACCAAATTAAATCAACCAAATTTTTTTCATGGTTTGTGTATTTTATATCTTAAGAAACCTTTTCTTCCTAACATCATGGAAATATTCTGTATTTTTCTTCTAAACATCTTAAAGTTTCTTTTAAGTCACTCATTGAAGAACCTCTCCTTTTGCCACTCATTAGCAGCATCACCTGACAGCTACCAGGTTTCCAGATAAGCCAGGGTCTGTTTCTAAGCCCTCTACCATGTTACACTGGTCTACATGTCTATCCACATATGATCATCCTGCTTTAGCTATTACAGGTTCACAGAAAAACTTATGACCTAGTAAATTAAGATTTCTCCAACTTTTAACTGTAAAAATCATCTTTGTTGCTCTTTATCTTTTATTAGTTTATCTAAATCTTAGCACCAGCTTTTGGAGACCCATAAAAAATCCTGCAACTCTTTATTGCTTATTCAATAACTTTATTTAGTATTAACTATTTTTTTTTCAGATTCTTTTGGGATTTCTATGTGGAAATTGACTAAAAATAATGAGTTTTTTTTTTTAACTTGTTACCCTTGTTACCCTATTACTCAACTATAAATCTTTTTTTAATTTTATGTATTTTTTATATCATTGTTCATTTTTGTATGTTTGATTTCTCCCCTCAGGTGTAATCCCAATAAAATTCCCATCACCATATTTTCCGTGAACCATCACCACAGTCTCTTGTGCTGTCTCCACCTCTCCCCTGCTATGTATCATGGATTTATAGTTTGCGTGCTAGTTTTTTTTTTTTTTCTGACCACTTGTTCAGTTTCCCTATATTCCTCCTTTATATGAACCCATCCATTATTTTTATTTTTCCTTCTGGCTTATTTCACTGAACATAATCCCTACCAGTTCCATTCATGTTGCTGTGAATGGCATGAATTTATCTTTTTCGATTGCTGAATAGTATTCCATTGTGTATATATACCACATCTTGATTCAGTCATCAATTTTTGGGCATTTAGGTTGTTCCCATATCTTAGCTATTGTAAATAGTGCTGCAATAAACATAGGAGTGTAGGTTTCCTTTCTAATTAATGTTTTTGTGTCCTGTGGGTAGATTCCTAGGAGTGGAATTGCTGGATCATATGGTAGATCCATTTATAATAATTTGAGGGTCCTCCACACGGCTTTCCATAGTGGTTGGCCCAGTTTGCATTCCCACCAGCAATGTAAGAGGGTTCCTTTTTGTCCACATCCTCACCAGTATTTATTGTTGTCAGGTTTTCTAATGTGGGCCTGAATCATACTGGTGTGTGGGGGGGTATTTCATTGTGGTTTTGATTTGCATTTCCCTGTTTATATGTTGAGCATATATGTTGAGCATATGTTGTTTCATGTCTGTTGACCATTTGCATTATCTCTTTGGAGAACTGTCTTTTTAGCTCTTCTGCCCATTTTTTGAGCAGGCTGTTTATTTTGGTTTTGTTGAGTTGTGTAAGCTCATTGTAGATTTTTGATATAAGTCCCTTGTCAATTGTATGGAGTGCAAATAATTTCTAATCTGTATGGTGTTGCTTCACTTTGGTTATTGTCCCTTTTTCTGTACAGAAGCTTTTTAGTCTGATGTAGTCCCAGCTGTTTATCTTTTACTTCATTTTCTTTGCTTCATGGGATGAGTCTTCAAAGATG